TGCTTCTCCCTCTCCCACTTCCCCTGCTAGTGTTCCCTCTCTCGCTGTGTCTCTCTGTCAGAGAAATAATAAAATCTTAAAAAAAAAAAAAAAAAGATACTGGGTTATTCAGAATAGTCACAGCATTGACTGTTGGGTATTGGTTTTATATATTTTTTCTTTCCTTCAAAAAATTCTATAATAGTTTTAAATTTTAATATTTTTAAATGTATCTGCAAGCAACATAAAGTACAACATAGAAAAACATGTAATAGAAAGTTAACCCTCCTCTCCCTAGAGTTAACCATTATTAACAGTTCAGTATGCATCCTTTCAGACATTCTACCCATGTACAAATATCACATTCTTAAATACTCAATGTCCATGTATATATTGTCTGTAACCTTTTAATTAATAAATTCTGGAGATATTTCCTTGTAAGGAAAATGGCTCTATTTCATTTTTACCTTAATTAATTAAATATTCCCTAACTTTATTTAAACACACTTCTGATGGCCATTAAATTGTTTCTGATTTTTCACTATTAAAAGCAATGCTTAGGGGCTGGCTCAGTCGGTAGAGGATGCATTTCTTGATCTTGGGGTTGCAAGTTTGAGCCCCACGTTGGGTGTAGAGATTACTTAAAAAAAAAATCTTAAAAAAAAAAAATGCTTACAAATGACCATACTTATACATTTTTTGTGCATGTGTACTTCTATAAGATAGATGCCTAGCTGTAAAATTGCTGATCAAAGAGACATTCTCAATTTTAATTTTAATAAGTATTTACCGAATTTCCTTCCAATGGGTTATATTCATTTTCATTGCACCTTTCAGAATTTAAAATAATTTTTGGGGCATCTGGGTGGCTCAATCGGTTAAGCATCTGCCCTCGGCTCAGGTCATGATCCCAGGGTCCTGGGACAGAGCCCCACATCAGGCTCCCTGCTCAGCAGGCTCTCTGCTTCTCCCTCTCCCTCTGCCTGCCCCTCCTACTGCTTGTTCTCTCTCCCTCTCTCTCTCTGCCAAATAAATAAAATCTTTAAAAAAAATTTTTTTAATGAAATATTTTCAATCTCATGAGAAAAATCCCAATTTAAAACAATTACCAGGCATTCATAAAAGGAGTATAATTCACATACTATATTACAGTATTCCAAAATTTCATATGAGCCTGATTCCTAAGGCAGCCAGCATCTGGAACAGTATTTGCCATAACAGGGGTTCAATGAAAGCTGCTGCACTCAGGAAGGAGCGCTGGGTAAACCTTTCTTAAACTCACCTATGAAATTAGATTCCAGAGGCTCTGTTGCCATCTGGTGGTAATTTCCCCCCTGATGACACCTCCTCTGACATGATTTCCGAGAAGTCCTTCATTCTACAGTTAATTACTTCCTCAGTCTGTATGAGGCATTAATTATTTCATCATCCGTGATTACTAAACATATTTTTTTAAAAATTATGAGGAAATCACATTATTTCTCAATTTTTTTCAGTTTCTTGAGACAATTAGCTGGAAGTGCAAGTACCAAAAATATCCTCCTGCCTACATTTTTTTGAAGACTCTTAATAGACGGGAGCTCTTCTATTAACAGACTTTTGCTTCCACAGTAAGCAAAACATATAGAACTTATCTTTTTTCTATTATTTCCCCTCTCGTAATCTTCCCCACTTAAAAAAAAAAAGTTAAATGAGTCATAGAAATGGTGAGTTATTTGTACCCCCCAAAGCATCAGATACCTGCTGGTGTCCCACTCATATCTCCTTGGCATTTATGATTTCTGAATATGCAGATCCAAACTCCAATTGTCACATCTTTGCCTCAGAGCTCCCTTTGGCCACGTGTATGCAGGTGCCAGGGAAATACTGCATCCCCCTAAACTGAAAGCAGCCCTCAACCACTGACAGATGGGGATTGACATAAAAATACCATTATGGGTTGAATTGTATCCCTCAAAATGCATATATTGAAGTCCTAACTCGCAGTACTTGAGAATGTGACCTTATTTGGAGATAGGATCTTTAGAGAGATAATCAAGTTAAAATGAGGTCATAAGGGTGCGCCCTAATCCAATATGACCTGTATCCTTATACAAAGGTGGAATTTGGACCAGAAATATGCA